GCAGCTGAAGAAGCTGCACAGCATCAATTTGAAAATCTTTTCAACATTTGGTGGCATCTCTATGTGGAATTGTAACAACAACAAATCTGGAACAGTAACATGAAAGAGATGAACACTAGCATCAGTATAGCAAAATCCCTGCACAAAATCAGATGTTGATCAAATTAGTCACAGACCATTATAATAATAATCAGTCAGAGAAACAAAAACAATGCAAAGGTCTGAGTAAAGGTGAGTTCAGACTAATCTGATGAGTTGATTTCTGTCTTGTCTAACTTATTGTTGTTGTAGCTCCACTCACTCCAGTCATTCTGAATGCAATGTTAATCTCAGCATCTACTTCACCTCAGCTCTGTGGCCTTCCCAATGCTAATAATATCAATAACACAAGTTTGATAACTGCTATTCCAAATTCTCATCAATTTGAAAATGTCTCAACTGAAGATTCAGTAGATCCTGATACCCTTGTCTCTTCTCTCTTGTCATCATCACCTAAACTATCAGACAAACAATGTAAAGCAATGGAGCATCTCAAAGGCAAATATGGCTCTGAACACATCCAAAAGCACCAATGGAAGTGGGTAACATATTCTTCAAAGTGAGAAGATGAATGGGTCTCAATTTATGTCTTGGCAAAGAAACTCTCTCTTGAGGATACCTATGTGGAATATGTGAGTGGATGGCAAGGTCATCTGTCTGTGAAGATGCTGTGGAATGCATGGGATGCCAAGTGGCAATTTGGTGATCATGCACAAATCTCAGAGGCTATTTGACAGGCAAAGTTATATCATCTGGTTGAGACCTTGAAGGAGAAAAATATGAACTGGAAGGACTAGCATGTATTTCAATTTTTCACCAAAAATTTTCCAATCATACCTGAGTTAAGTTCAAAGCAGCTTTGAAATATTCATGTCTTTTTCAAGTGGTGTTAGGATTGTGCCAATAGGAATGTGGCAGAGGTTGCATGTAGCAGAAGCTGCAGAATGTGTCAGGTGTAGGTGAAGCTATTAGCAACATCACCTCTGAGCTGAAGCCCTAAGATGAATATGGATGGAAGCCTGTGGGGTGACAGAGACAAAGTAAGAGATACATCCAATGGATTGGAGTTCCACAGATGAGAGAGTGAGAGTTAGACTTAGAGTCAGAGAGAGAGAATTGAGCTGAACTAAGTTGATATTTGAACTGAGTATCTACAGTGTAATTCTAAGGTTTATATACTGCTTAGGAGTCTGATCTAGTTTCTACTTGGAGTGGTCTGCATTCTAGGGTGGTCAGAAGTTGAAGTCTACCAGTCAGTAGCTGATGGAGTCTGATGATATACTTGCTATCAATGTCAAGCTATTGATAAATTAAAATGGAGAGGTCAAATATAAAATAAAATATGAAATAGAAACTGGGAATTGGAATCCATTGGGTCTGTGTGGAGTTTTTGCAGGGTGGTCATGTGCAAATTCACTTCTTAACTAGTAACCACCACCATCTCTTCCAATTTCTGAACTTCGTCCTCATTGTCTATCATGTCATTGACAATTAAGTACTGCCTTTCCATAAACCCTGAGCCTTATAAGACTCCCCCAACACCAACTGATACTACTCTCGATGAGCTGAAGTCCTTTTTTGAACAATCAGATGCCAATATTAAAGCATACAATGAGGCTATAGAATGCTGAGACAAGTATAAACAAAAGCAGGCTAAGTTAGCAGCTGTGGAGAAGGCTAAAGAGGGAGGAAGAGGGAAAGGGCCTTGAGACTTAAAAAGGCAAAGGAGGAGGTGAAGATGAAGGAAGCTGCCATGGAGAAGCAGCAGTTAGAAGATGAGGCAAGGGCTAAGGCTTTGAAGAAGGCTAGAAAAGCTGTGGAGGCTGAGAAGAAAAAGGAGAAAGAGAAGGAGAGGGCAGGTGAGGATGAAGGGAGCAAGGATAGTAGCAGGTCTGAAGGGGACAACAAGAGGGAGAAGGACTCGAAGAGAAAGGCATTGAAGAAATTGGTGAAGCAGAGGAAGGACAGAAAGGGGAAGAACAAGGCAATGGATTCGGAGGCCATGCGAGGATCAAAGAAGAGGAAGGTAAAGTCTAGCATGGTGGTATTGAGTGGGGGTGAGGATACCGCAGGGCCATCAGAGAGACCCTTGAAGAAATTGAAAACTGAGCCTGAGATGCAGGTGGATGATGAGGAGTATAAAGATAATAGTACATTTTCCTGCAGGTTCTAGATGTTTTGCTGACTTGTGGCTATATAGAGTGTTGTGGACATTGTAAAGCTGACAATGTCAAATGTTTTATTAGAAGCAGTTGTACTTGTGAGCAGTGCAAGTCAAAGAAGATCAAGTGTATGTTTAGTCAAGACAAGAGATTGGGAGCTGCAGGGTTTGAGAGAGTCTTGGACCTCTTGAACAAAATTTTTGACAAGATGGAAGAGTTCTAGGGGAGCTTGGAGAGGGTGGAGGGTAAGATGGATATTCTCAGAGACCGTATTGATAACTTGGTCAATGTTTTTCATTCAGGCAATGAACTGGAGTATCCATGAGATTTCCTCCCCAAGAAGTACAAACATGAGTTCCAGTCATTGAAGGTTGAGCTTGAAAAGCTCAAGAATGTCAACATTGAGGCCCTTCAGAAGGCAATGCAAATGTGCCTTGATCAAGATGTTGCACAAGTTTGGCATGCACATGTTACAGGCCTCGATATCTTCGATGGCAAGGATCTCTTTCAGTTAGCCAACATGGAGTTTTAGCATGGTTATTATGGCAAGGAAGGGCTCTGAAAAGCCTTAGAGGCATGAGAGAGGTTCTTAGATAACTAACAGAGGTATTATGAGTATGGAGGCCATCAGGGCAAATGGGCATTGTAGAAGCAGTATCTGAGATATGTGAATGAGTTCTTGGTTAAGGATCTGGAAGGAGAGGTGGATCCAAAGGAACTAAGAGGTCAGAAATGTTGCCTGGCATGCATTCTATGGGGTTTCCAGACTTGGACAAGCTGAAGTTGATTAAGATGCTGGTAGAGGAGGAGGATCAGCAAGGTGAAGAAGAGGATAAGGTGGATGAAGAGGAGGAAGATGTAGTGATGTGATTTTGATACCAGTGGACTCCTAGATGCCTTTTGGACTTGTATTATTTTTTGGATGCTTTGTTGTACATGGATTTTGATAGTGTGGGCCCCAACGGGCAATAATTATATATATCTTAACTTGTATACTTGAGTGATTGAGAGAGAAAAGTGAGAAAAACCAAGAAATAAGCATCTGTTGGGTTCTGTTCCCAATTAGGAAGGTAATTTGCAATAGTTTTTCAGGATTTAATTTGAAATTTGAAGAGTGGGGACCGTAGGAAGCTGATAAGTTAAGAATAGGTCAAAAAGTAATGATTGAGGTTTAAAGTCAGAGGCTGGAGACTGTCACTTGTCTGCTTGGAACTTATAATGATTATGTGATTAGGAACACCATGCTTAGTGAACACATGGGTAATGAATAACCAGGCAAGCTCCTCAGAGTTGATGGTGTCCTGAGTGGGAATGAAAATTGCTTGCTTACTTACATGGTCGACCACTACAAAAATAGCAGTGATTCCATTGGAATCCAGTAATTGTTCAATGAAGTCCATAGAAATGGAATCCCATAGGCACTCTGGGACTGGCAAAGGTTTGAGTAAGCCAAAAGGATGGTGTATAGGTGCTTTGTTACATCTGCAGATAGTGCAATATTGAACATAGTGGCAAATGTATTCACACATCTGTAGCCAGGTGTAATTCTGTCAGACAAGTTTAAGAGTTCAGTTTTGACCAAAATGACCTGCCAAGATGTGGTTATGATTGTTTTGAAGAACACGAAGATGGAGATTGTTAGAGTCTGGGACATGGATGTGGCTGTCAAGACATAGTAGTCCTGATTCATTCACAGACCACTAAGAGAAATTGGAGGGAGAGGATGTGAGTTGAAGGCCTTCAGTGGCAGCAGAGTCCAATAGCTGTATATTCTTGATATCAGAATGGAGCTTGTTGATGTCCATGATAGCACTGGCATGTAAGACAGGACCTTCAAGATATCATGAATCACCCTTATTTTTTGCTTATCTTATCTTATCTCATCAACTCGTCATTCGACTCTCATCATCATTCCTCATACCTGATCCGCATCATTCATGACCTGATCAATCACACGCATGATCCATCGTTCACACGCATGATCTGTTTGATGGCCCATAGATCTGATCACATGACTATGAGCCCGACCCTCCTTCAGCCAGTCACGCTTCTTTAGGTTGACTCTGATCACATCCTAGGACAGATAGGGTGCCACATATACCTCCCAGAAGATAGCGCCATACGAACGCTAGCCTTCTTGTTTGTAGGAGGACTTCTAGCATACCAAATGCACCAGCCTAGAAGACAGCGATGCTTTGGGAAGGGTACCTATTAGTATATATGGCAATGTATTTAAGCCTAGTCTCGCTAGGGTCTTACACCCCAGCTTCGGCTAAAGTTATACACTCCTAACTTTTCATGCAGAAACTCCTCGTTTCATGCCTAAGGACTATCGTACCTTACCTAGTGATTGCAATGCCCTCTTCACAACTGAATCACCAAACGCGAGTGACAGTTTAGAGGCAAACATTGTTCAATCCAAGTTAGTGCGTTACAATTAGCCGAAGCTTGCTTCGCATACCCTCACCGTCAAACCAACAAATCACACTGTTGTTCTATGTATTCCTGTTACAACTATCTGCGACAACAGTGGCCATACTGTTAAATCATCACCAGTACCTTTACCGTTGTTAAACGACGTTGACCGTATGTGCCCAGAAGACTACGAAACATACTACTCCATGACCACCCTCAAATCCACGCTCCTTCTATATGCTTACGAGCTAGAACGAGCACACCAAAGAGCACCAACCCTCCCGAGTGAGCGAGTAACGGACTCTAATGAATCCTCAGTTGGACACCTCACTCCCATCAGACTCCGCCCAAGCACGCCACCGCCCCCAGTCCCAAGAGACGACCATGTCCTCCCACAGCAAGACATGGAAGGGCAAAATGGCAGCGGGGGCGAAGAAGATAGGTCTTCCCTTCGGGAAGAAAGCGCCGGACGAAACAGCGTCTCTTCAAACAACGGAGACAGTTCCGGAGAGCAGCTACACGTACGAGAAGCCCGAAGGATCTACATTGATGTCGCTAGAGGAAGAATCCTCACCGACCGAGGCCATGAAATATGCCTCCCAAGTACAACACCAGGATACATCGAAGGAGAGTGGGTACAACCAAATGCCGGGCGCGATGTGGGAAGCAGCAGCAGCGGCCCAAATAGTTCAGACTACGGAACTGCCCGTTCAACAGATGAGCACTCCCAGCGGTCATGGGGGGAGCCTGTCGTGGCAAGAAGCAGCACAACAGCAGAAGGCGAGTCAAGGGATACGACGGGGGATTCCCCAGAGCCAAGAATCCAAGGCCCTGGGTCCCCGACCAGCACCTCCAGCTGGCTATCCTGGTACTCGGCAGACAGAACCCGACGAGTCTACAGAATCGACACTCCACGATGTTATTCGTCGCCGATCCCTAGCTCAAGTCGATACGTTCCAGACCCTCCAATCCAACCTGACCCAAGAGAGCGAGTACAGTGGGCAGAAGAAGGACATCGCACCTCAGCCAGAAACACAATCACCATCGCAGACCTCAGAGTATGGGCAGACACCGCCGGGGAGCCCACGACTGCACGAATCTCACCAGTCGAGTCTACTTCGCCCATCGGGGGAACCCTCGACACCATCACCGAGGAAGAAAACCCTATTCCTCTCACACTCCCCAGAACCTCTGGGGCCCAGACCCCATACTACTCTGCCGAAGAAGACCCATGGGGAGAGCAGCCAGATACAGACGAGCTACTCGAGCAGCACCCCCATGCAGACTCCCCGCCGTGGCAGCATAGGGTCTTATTCGCAGACACCAACGAGGAGGACACTGTCCTCTGGTGGTTCACAGGAGCCCAATCCCTCGCCGGAACTACCGACGTATCAAATCCCGTTGAGACCAAGCTTGACCAGGCAAGTCTCACAGATTGGCCTCACTGCAGGTGCCAGATCTGTCGACGACTACAGGACCTGGCCCAAGCCCGATATAATGAAGTTGGACCTCACCCAGAGCTCGAACCCTTCCTCAACCCCGAACCCACCTTCTATGTCGAACCCCCTTTTATATCACAAAGAGAGCTTCAGTGGTGGGTCTATGATCGAGAGGACTTCAACGAAATCTTTGAAGAATACCAAAGGTACTTTGCCTATGTCTGGAACTGGAACCAGATATGGATTGACGGAAATCCCTACCTCTTATGATATGAACCCATCTTTCACCCAACCAACCATCTTGACCGATTGGACCTGTGGGTTAGAGCCCGGATACAAATCGACAGGCTCACCCATATGGGAGAGTATGCAAATGACCCACCCTTTGTCAGGGACCCCAATGAAGGAGACAACGAGTTCGTTCAAGGGTCCAGCAGAGAACCTCACTGACGAAGAACTCTATAGGATGAGCTGGGACCAGTTCTGGTGGACTATACATGACCAACTACCCCACAGAAGCTACTGGACCACCACTCTGCAGGGGCAAGCATATCAACAAGCTGAACCCGATTCCCAATTAAAAAGGGACATATTATCACAAGAAACCCAGTATATCGCCATAAATTATTGGAACCTCCTACACCCTGACCGACAACTACTCCAAGGAAGCCATTATGAACTCCCCGATATCGATGAGTCAGGATCGGACTTCTCAACCCTGGGAATTCTCCAAACCACCACCGCCGTTACCAGACCGTCAAGACTATTCGCAGGTGGAAAACACCTAGACCAACACCTCTGAAGCATGGGAGGCACTACAACAACCCCCACCTCTGGTAAAGGAAGCGGGCCAGCACCCGCCGCACCTGGAGGTGGAGGAGGAGGTGGAGGTGGAGGTGGAGGCAGAGGTGGAGGACCACCACCCCCTCCACCAGCGCCACCTACACCACATAGTGATCAGAACCTCCGATCACTCCCTTGCCCTGAAAATCCGCCACTACCACCAGATCCTCCGGATGACTGGGAAATTGCGGCAGGACAATCCAATCCATGGGGAGACGTTAAACCCACACTCATAGAAAAACCGGAGGGGTTCTATGGAAAATCCCATGACCTCGACTGATTCTTCGATGATTGCAACGCTTACTTTGAAACATTTTCAAAGTACTTTTCCCTTAATACCACACATGGGTATGGCCCCAATCGAATTGTATTTGCAGCATCCTTATTCAAAGGAAACGCTAAGCAGTGGTGGGTGGACCAACGACGAAAGTATTGGGACTCCCACGCACACCATCATCGATACCCTGCATGGACAATCTTCGAAGAAGAAGTGCGAAGACGATTTGAAGAAGTAGCGGAGGTCAAAATATGGCGAATCGAGTGGAAAAAGCTCCAACAGTCCCAATTTAGGACTGCCGTGGAGTTCTTTGACAAATTTGAAGAGCTAGCTATAAAAGCAAAACGATTCGACAACGCGGATCAAATGGAAGAAGTGATAAAGCAAGCCATTCGACCTCGCGTCAAAGAAATTATCATGGGGAGCGACAATCGCCGACCCCAAGGCTACTACGAATGGAAGGATAGAGTCGGCCACATGGACGAGAACTATTGAGTAGGGGTAGCCGAACGCAGAGGTTGCCCCCCGGGACCCAAGGGATCCAAATCAGGATCCAACGGACGAGCCAGCACCTCAGGAGGAGGCAGAAGCGATAAAAGAGACACTACTGGAACCACCTATGGGGGCGAAGGTGAGCCCATGGACATTGACCGTCTCAAGAAAGAGAGACGATGTTTTCGATGCGGTAATACAGGACACATCAGCTGGGACAACAAATGCCCGACCGACAGGTCCAAATGGCGCCATGTAAAGAAACCAAAATCAACACCCTTCACGAAGAAACCGACGCCATTCACACAGCACCTAAGGGCCTTAATCAAAGAGGCTGAACAGGAGGAAAACCCCGCTACAACAAAGGTTGAGGAGGTAAAAGAAGAGTCAACCGAGGACTAGGTGATTCACCTCGGTCGACCAGGACTTGTGTTTCAAACAGTATGCATCCTATTACGAATTTTAACGTTGATACCTTACATGTAGGAACGATGACAGACAATATACTTATTTTGTCACGTTCTCATGAAACTCAAACTGAATCACTGGGTGATATTGGCCAAGACGACATTCGAACTCAGCACGGCGTAGAAAAGGATTTCCGCCTTCGAATTGACCAGGACCAGTCAATTGATAAAGAACCTCACCCACCAAGCCCTCACGTGGGAGACTCCTGAGTCTCAGAAGTCGATTCAACAGGCAGTAGAACCCGAGTATATCTACCTTGGGGAGCGAGCCCGAGCAGCCTAACAGCAACAGGCTCGGGCAGGCCACAACACGTGGTCAAACTTCCAGCAGGCTGGAAGGAAGAGAAGATCCCAAACGGTCGGACAGAGAGGCCCCAAGTAGAGGATGGATGGAACCCAAACCCAAGGGCACACCAGAGAGAGGAGGCTTGCAACGCGCGAGTCGAGGATCCTCTCCAACCCTCGGGAGACACAAATATTTCGGTTCTCACCGAATCGATGCTGGAGGGACCAAGGCATGGAGTACGAGGGATTTCCTCCGCCAATACAACGACTGTATTGGCAATGAACCCCACTAGGTGCGACTCGTGCACAACTCCAGAAATGAGCAAGCGAACCGCTGCTGCTGGTGGCGGTGGATCAAGAACGAGTAGGCCCCTCTGTGATGGCAGGGAACCCCTCGGAAAAGCGGAGGCCCATGCCGCAGGGACAATAGAGGCCGGCAGCGTAATAGAGCTACCAGATGAAGGTTTGGCAGTAACCCCCATTGTCCCCGGAAGCAGGACCGACACCCCAGCTCGGATCAAGCTCCCAGCAGGGGAGAAGAAATTGCCTGGCATGGGGAAAGTTCTGAGAGAGTCAGCGAGCCCCCCACGCCAGGATCAGACTGCGCTCAGTCACTCTGATGAAGATCGGCCGATAACCTGGGCCGCCGCTCCTACCCCAATTGTAGCAACGGCCCGCGTTGGAAAAGCAGCTGAGGCGAGGAACCAGGGGAATCCCACGGGACCCCCTGGTGAGCCAACATGTGTGCATCCACGAAAGGTTGCCAATCTACCCATCGAGGTAAAGGCCCAGGGTGAGGACCCTTCAAGAAAAAAGACCTCGCAGGGCGAAAGCCATACTGCTCGAGGCAGAGACAAGGAGTCTCTGGGGAGTAAGTCCTCGGGGAGCTGGTTCTCCCCTCGAGGCAACCAAGCTATTAAAAAGGTAATTATAACAGAAATTCCTGACGATGAAGATGATTCTAGTTACCAACAGAGTTTATGGAACTCTAAAAAATCCGGACTGTGCGGGCCATCCCCGAGTGGAAAAGACCTTAGTAGCGCAAGCGAACAGGCGAGAAGCTCAGTAACTACAGAAGCACAAAGGGCCACAAAACCTGTAGCGAACGGCAACAAGGGGAAGCCCACGATGCTGAAAGAGGGAAACCTCGAGTACTCATCGGAGGAGTACCCTTCGGATCAACAATACCTGGAACCCTACACCTCAGCATGGGTTCGGAGGGCTATGCGTCTTACCCCAGATGCCGCCAAAGCCCACCTATGACAGTGGGTCCATCCTCGACATCTTGAGGAAGTAACTGACGAACTAGTAAAAACTCTGTTAGAACATCCTCATGAAACATGGACAGAGACTGGCCACAAAGCCCAATGGATGGCCGATCTTCGACAACCACCACAGTATATCAGGGGGAGGAAGGGGTGGAATGTCACTATCTCCCTTCAACTGGAAACCTACGATACCCTGGCTAAACACCCCGTTAAAGCCTTGGTAGACAGCGGATGTACAGGAAGTGCTATTGACTGAACATGGGTCGAGGAGCATCAGATCACCACCCGGACTGCTGCACACCCAGTACCAGTATATAATGCCGATGGAACTCGAAATACGGGAGGTGACATCACCAATTATATCGAGGTCTGCCTCGCGATCGGGGATCATACCGAATGAATAGAGTTGGCCATAGTTGATCTAGGCACCACGCCCATCTTCCTAGAACACGATTGGCTACAGTGCCACAACCCCCTGATCGACTGGAACACCGGGACAGTCACCCTTGCACGATGTGACTGTCGGAAAATCCCCTTCCGACTACCCAATGAGGACCCAAACCAACAGTGGGGAACTGAAGTTGAAAAAGGGGATAAAATCCTAGTGATAGATTTCGAACAAGCATTTCATGTATGTGCCATGGGGACCAAATCCACCAGTTTAGCCGCGAAAGCTCATCTTGATAAAAAGGAGAAAACTTTTGAAGAAATTGTACCCGAAGTCTACCGAGACTTCATAGACGTGTTCGCCAAAGAAATTTTTGACGAATTACCCCCACGAAAACCATGGGACCACGCCATTGAGCTAGTGCCCAATGCCAATGCCAGCCTGGATTGCAAGGTATACCCCTTGAATCCCCAAGAACAAAATGAACTCGACCACTTCCTGGATGAAAACTTGTCCACAGGAAGGATTCGACCGTCCAAATCCCCCATGGCCTCACCTTTCTTTTTTGTAAAAAAGAAGGATGGAAAACTACGGCCCGTCCAGGATTATCGCAACCTTAATGAAATGACCATTAAGAACCGATATCCCCTCCCACTTATATCAGAGCTAATGGACAGGCTACGAGGTGCCAAGTACTACACAAAACTGGATGTGAGATGGGGGTACAACAATGTTCGTATCAAAAAGGGGGACGAATGGAAGGCAGCCTTCCGTACCAATCGAGGCCTATATGAACCCCTTGTCATGTTTTTCGGGCTCACCAACTCCCCCGCAACCTTCCAGTGGATGATGAATAACCTTTTCAAAGACCTAATCACTCAAGGACTGGTCAGCGTCTACCTAGACGATATACTCATCGCCACCAAAACTAAAGCAGAACACCGAACCGTAGTTCAGAAGGTTCTGCAAATACTCTGAACAAACAAACTCTTCTTAAAAGCTGAGAAATGCAAGTTTGAAGTAGAAGAAACCGAATACCTAGGAGTAATCATCAGTGAAGGATCCGTTAAAATGGACCCTGTCAAAATTGCAGGAATTCTGGACTGGCCGATGCCCACCAAAAAACAGGAATTACAATCCTTTTTGGGGTTCACCAATTTTTACCACCAATTCATTTGGCACTATAGTCACCATGTCAAACCCCTAACCTGACTTACTGGGAAGGAAGCATGGACATGGGGAAAGGCGCAACAAGATGCCTTCGAAACCATTAAACGACAATTTTTAGAAAATGTCATTCTTGCCATCCCAAGCAACAAAGGGAAATTCCGAGTAGAGGCAGATGCCAGTGAAGGCGCCGCCGGTGCTGTACTGTCCCAGGAACAGGCCGATGGAAAATGGAGACCCGTCGCATTCCTCTCCAAATCACTTTCCACCACAGAACGTAACTATGAAATTTATGACAAAGAACTACTAGCCATCATGATTGCCCTGGAAGACTGGCACCACTATCTCATGGGTGCCATACAGAAATTCGAGATTTGGACAGACCACTCCAATCTCTAATATTTCCGAAAACCCCAAAAGTTAAATCGACAACAAGCTCGGTGGGTTACCGAGCTCATGGAATATGAATTCACCCTTCATCACAAGCCAGGCACTGCGAATAAAAAGGCAGATTTACTCAGCTGAAGGGCGGACCATGATCAAGGCAAAAAGGATAATGATGATATCGTCATCCTTAAACCTGAGCTCTTCAGAGCCTTGATAATGCCTACGGAAGAGGCAATCCACCAAAAAATAGCTAAGGCCACCGACAATATACATTCGTGGGATAAGGGAGTCTCTGACTCTCTCGGCTATGAGAAAGGAGTTCAACAGAAGGGAAACCTTCTATTCTATGATGGACGAATTTATATCCCGAAGGATATTCCACTATGAGGGGAACTAATTTCCTACACCCACAACCATATAACAGCAGGACACCTAGGAATCGCAAAAACACAAGAATTAGTACTTCGCGACTACTGGTGGCCTAATATGCACCGGGACGTAGAAAAATACGTGAAAGGGTGCGAAGTCTGTCAAAAAACCAAACCTGAC